GGGTTTTTACTTTCGCATACTAGTTTAGAGAAAAATAAAAGTAGAGACTAATTTGTCTAGTCAGTATGTAATTTTTCCAAGCTACCCACAGGCTTATAATCGTGGCATTAAGTTTAGCAAATTTTCTGTTTTGTTTTTGTTTTTTCGATATCCCTTTACTCCTTTTTCTTTCATTTTTTGTATTCTTTTATTGTAATCCCCTATATCTCTGTGTTTTTTTTTTAGTTTGTTTATTTTTTCTAATTTTGCTTCTTGATGAGCAGGTAGCCGCCAGCCAATGAACAACGGGAAAAAAGTCTTTAGTGAGTTAAGGACCCTGAAGGAGGCTAAGAGCTACTGAGGCAGGTCACACTTGATGTATAAAATCATGTAGATAAGTTTTTTGTTTGGTTGAATTTACTGTAGTTAGAGATAAATCACTTGTAATTTTTTACTTACAATTTTGAATAACTTGATCCCAAATAAACAAGGGCAGGACAGCTGAATTAGAAAAAAAAAAATAAAATGATAAAATATATAATAAACATATAAAATATATAATAAAATTTAAGTAAAATTATAAGAAAAATGTTAATAAAAATTTGTTAATATTACAATATATTAAGATATACAACATGTCCCTTATATATAATTTTTAACCTTTGGTATGATTTATAGTGCATCTTATGATAATTATAGTTTTGTCAAGACTTTTGTACTTAATAATAGATCATTACTCTGTATAATTAGAAGTTTTATCTAATTAGCAAGTTTTCTTCTTTTTAACGATAGTTTCTTTTAGGTTTTATTTTAGATTTTTACTTCTTAATATTAATGTACATTTTTTAATATATTAGTTTTTATTATATACCTCTTTTTTTTGTTTCCTATTAACATTTTTTTTTCTTTTTTCTTTCTCTACAAAAAAGTATTATCAGTTTGGCGATATTCTATTATAAAGTAAAAATCTTGACAAAGCAGCATAACAGTTAGCTGAGAAATCTGAAGGGGAAATAAGTTCAGAATAAGTTCTGGATCTCTGGAAGAGGCCAATAGTTTACTAGGCAGGTTGCATCTGAGCATAACATAGTAGTTTAATGGTTTGCCTTGATTACAAATAGATGTTACAACATCTGCGAGATAAAGCTATAAATGAGTTTATTTTCTGATAGGAACATTATAGAGTTAGATTTCTTTATTAGCTGATATAAGAATGAAAATCTGTTCTCATAATGAAATAAACAAGATTGCTGAAGAAAAAAAATAATTATAAAGCTAATAATAAAACTAGAGAATTGCTATTTTCACCTCCATTTTTGCTAATCCTATCCAAAATTTAAAAAGTGCTTTAAAAGAGATTTTTTATTATGCAAACTCTTATTTTGATCTTAATAAAAGTTGTTTATCAGACCTTTCTGATTCTAGTAGTAGTAAAATTATTAAAATCAAATTAGCAGTTTCTAAGATATATATATCTAAAGTTGGTTATTTTTTATTTACTTAAAAAAAACTATTGGTTTGATTTTAATGATTTTACTACTATTAGAACTGAAAAGGTCTGATAAACAACTTTTATTAAAACCAAAATAAAGATTTACTTAATAAAAATTATCTTCTGAGCATTTTTTGATATCTGGGAGTGGGATTAGCAAAAATGGAGGTAACAATAGCAATTATCTAAAACTAATACTAAAACTTCATTTATAATATCATAATTAAGTCTTTTTTTTAAGAATTTCTATTTTTCAAATCTGTACTTGCATATGAACTTTTCACAGGGCTTCACTTCTAATTATGATTTACTTTTGTTATAAAAACAAATTTGAAAATTTGCCTCCAACTCAACTTGAACCATTGACCTTGTCAGTGGAGTTTGGAAGCTTAACCAATAAGCTATAAAACCCAAACCCTAAAAACCCTTTAAATATAATTATTCTTATTTAATTCTTTATATTAATTTTTTTATATGATATTTTTAGGACTTCTTGTTCTTGTCGAATTAAAAATAAGAATGAAAAACAGAGTCAGCTGTACTGATATCTTAATTCTCACGTATTTACAAACAGTTTATTACGTATGACAAACTTATGGTAATGAAATGTAAGAATCGAATCATAAATGAAAATGAAAAAACAAGTTTATCGTACTCTTAGTAAAATGTACCAAAATTTAAAATTATATACGTTAATTTATATATTTGTGATTGGTTAATAATAAGTATATGAATTTATAATCTTTAAATTGATATAACTACCTAAAATTCAAAGAAGTAAATTTTTTTTTTAGTCAAATTGTTGCTTAGATTCAAAGCTACAAATTGACTAAAAAAGTTTTTAACAAAATTTGTTGTTCTAAAGCTATATCATTTTTATAAAACATATACAGTGGCGATTATAAGTAATGGAGCAAAAAAAAAAATTTGGTTAGATCATGTTATTTCGTGCAATCTGGACGTATCCTTTTGTTTTTTTTTAATTTGCTCATGAATAGTAACCTTTTTTGATATTAAATTCTTAATTTAGGTTGTTTTGCTGGTTCAGAAACAATAACGCGTTGTATCATAAAAAATGTGATGCATTACTTATGATCATTCCCTATAAAGGTCAGATGAGGCTTGTGTACGACATAAATAACAATATAAAAGTAAATTACATTGTTATTTTTGCATCATTGTACAATGCTAAATCTTATCGATAATCAAGTTTTAAGTAAAAAAGAACGAACGACTCCAGCCCAACGGACTAAAATTTTACTTTCGTTGCAAAAAGGATACACCACAAGGACAGTAGGTCGTATCTATAAAGTTAGTTCCTCTACCGTCTCCCATATTAAAAATAGGTAGTTAAGACACTGTGGACTTAAAGACTTGGCAAGGGTTGGTCACCCAGTTAGTTTGGGCGAACCAACCCAAAGGAGGATTGTAAATCTAATTACCTTCCGTCGCTGCTCAAGTGCCATCGAAGTGTGCTCCTGCTTGAAAGAACAAGAAAACATCGACATTTCTGCGCCCACTATACATCGTATACTTAGGTCCCACGGTTTGGTGTTGGGTGTTAAAAGAAAGAAGCCTTACCTAAGCCAACTTCATAAATAATATCGGTTAGAATTTGCAAAAAAATATGAAAGTTGGACTTACAAAGACTGGGCCAAGGTAATTTGGTCCGACGAGTCAAAGTTCAAGATTTTTGGGTCGGACGGCAAGCAATATTATTGGAAGCGTCCTGGAGAACCTTTAAACGACTTCCACATTAGTCCTACGGTAAAATATGGCAGTGGTTCCATTAAGATTTGGGGTTGCTTTACGTCTCGCAGCGTTGATGGTTTTTGTAGAATCGAAGGCCATATGGATGGCGAGTTATATCGTCAAATACTTCGTGAGGATTTTTTGGAGACCATTAGAAATTGCGAATTTAATATTCGTGATGTGATTTTCCAGCAAGACAACGACCCCAAGCATACGGCAAGGTTGATGAAACGTTGGTTGAGGAATAACCGCATTAGGTTGTTGGATTGGCCCCCCCAGTCTTCTGATCTCAACCCCATTGAACATTTGTGGGTTGAGGTTGACCGTCGACTTAGGAACCTCCTGGGGCAAATTTCGAGTAAAGAAGACCTGTGGAACAAGATCCAGGTGGTTTGGCAGCAAATCGACGTTGAGACCTGCACCAACCTGATTCGATCCATGCCCGAACGGCTTCGTGATGTTATTAGGGCACGTGGTGGATACACCAGGTGGTAAAAGCCTGGAGGATTAGAATAGAAAAAAAACATTTTTTTTTTATATGTAAAAAAAAATTTTTTTGTTTTATGATTGTGTTGCATTACGCACGATCAAAAGTAATGCAACACGGCAAATGAAATAAAGTTCGTTTTTACGAAAAATTGGGATCATTTATTTTTTTTGAATTTTTTTTACATGAAGCTTATAGTATTCACGAATAAATTAAAAAAAAAAACAAAAGAATATGTCCAGAATTGCACGAAATAACGTGATCTAACCAAATTTTTTTTTTTGCTCCATTACTTATGATCGCCACTGTATATAAAGAGTGTCGGTTTTATAATGTCCCGCACTGTATCAAAATCTTCTCATAAAGAACCTTTCATTAAGCAATTTTTATTTAACAGATTGATTGAAAAATGAAAGAAGCATAAGACTATTACTCTTTTTTCTATCATAACATAACGTTGGTTGCAATTCCAAACAACCAATATTTTATTAGTATCTGTCGAGACTGCGTCGAGAATTATAGTCAACGAAATCAAAGTAATCATTTTATATTATTATTTTGTTTAAGTTTTAATATAGGTCAAAAAGAAAATCACGTGAATTAGATGAAAGTGTTAAAACGACGGATTTAACTCTTAAAGAATCTATTGCTTATCAATAATAAATATTTTAATATGCTGTATAACTTTTATATTAATATTAGTTCGGTCAATTTTTTACCAGATGTTCCAGAACTTATGAAAACAGCTGTAATACTGTAATTGTCCGGAGGACACTTTATGGACGAGCAAAGTGACACCAAAGTTGCATTAAAAGTATCGATTTTATTAACACAAAAGCAATGAGATCAAAAGATACGTGATACATGATATGATGCTCCGGACAAATAATAATGTGCATTACCCTAGCATTATATCGATATGTACTATATATTTTTGTTAATCACTACGTAAATACAAGAGTCAAAAATTTTATTAAATAAATCATAAGTTATTCAAAAGATATATTTTAAAAGTTTGTTAATATATTTTATTTTTATATCTTATAAACTATTGAGAACCAGGTGTTAAAATTTGGTTCTAAACCAAACCATGTTTAACTTAGGTCTGGAACTTATCATATAAAAAACCTGATTCTTGGGTGTTAATTTGGAATTGAAGGTTTCTGTCTATACTTGAGAATCCATGGATGTGTCGCGACCTTCTTAATGGCCAGGCGCTGCTCAGGTTTGTACTGCAATAACTGTATATGAATGATATTAATTAACAGCTTTGTAAATAATAAGACTTTTCAAGAATATTTTACCGATGTAATTAAATCCTTGGCTTCAAAGGAGATATAGTGAGGTAATTTTAGATCTACACCTGCAATTCGGATGCGAGTATTGTATTCACTATCCATATCCGCAAACGGTGGTTCACCGACCAAGAATTCATAACATAAGACGCCAAGGGCCCATGAATCAATTTTACCATCATGACCCGTACTCATGACCATTTCTGGAGCCAAATAATCTAATGTTCCGCAAAATGTCATCCGTCTGGATCTTTATCAGATATTTCTAATCAGTAATCGAAAAACCAATTCTAAATTACTTTTTCTTTATAATAACATGATACCTTTGTTGATTTGGTGCATGAATCGCCAATCCAAAATCAGAAATTTTAACATCACCATTTTCAGATAACAACAGGTTCTCAGGTTTCATATCTCGATGAATGACGTTCTTCTCTTGAAGATAAGCTAATGCATCCGCAATTTGAGCAATATACTAAATTATACATATCATGAAAATTTTGTCAGAGTCATAAAGAAAAATTATAAATTCAAATTCATGAAGTGAACCTTTGCTGCCAGTCGTTCTGGAAACCGTTTGTATTTTACAAGGTATTTGTACAATTCTCCCCTTGCAGCATATTCTAATATCAAATATACTCGGTCCTTGTCATGAAAATAGCCATACAAACGTAGGATATTGTGATGTCTGTTAGAGAATTGATAAAGGATTTATTAATTAATTAATTTAATAAAAGAGTAATAAATACATTTTTTTCACATACTATACCTTAAATGAGATTGAATTTCAACTTCACGTTTCAATTGTCCTTCAAGTTTATATTCTCTCAAGTCGCTTTTAAATATTACTTTGAGCGCAACGATCTTACCACTTGTTTTTTCTTTTGCTTGATAAACTCGTCCGAATCTTCCTTCGCCAAGAGGATCGCCTAGTTCAAAATCGTCTAATGACCAAGCACGAAGAGGTACTGGTTTAGTTGGTGCGGAGACAATCCATTGATTATTTTGTATTTTAGACCCTTCGTTGTGTTCACTTGAGGTATGATCTTGTTTATTGTTCATAATGTCTATCTACAGTATATTTGTCAGATTAACATAACTACACAAGGCTACATTAGAAGTTAACCAACTTTCTTATAACAAAGAACGCGTATGTCAGGCTCCAATCATATAAACAATGTGATGCGCATTACGTCACCAAAAGTCATATGATCCTTTTTATATATACGTAGCTCTATCACAATCTCAATCTCATACAAGGATAATGTTGAATATCGCAGGTTGCTATATCGCAGGTTAATATGATCGACCAATTAGATCACAAGATCTTGTGTAACAAAAATGAACGAATCCAAAATTTTAAATATTTCGAAATTTCATTATGTAAACTAGTCTTGGGCTTCTAATTAAAAGTTTTTAAACTTAATTTGGCATATAAATATGCTTTCTAACTCTAATCCTAATACTAGCTCGAACCCTAATCCTAACTAATAATAAATTTAATTTTTTTTTTAAATATATATTAACCTGCGATATCACAACCTGCTAAATTTAACAAAAATCTTCATACAATTCAAAAATGCCTCGAAATTTTGATTTTATCAGATCACTTAATGACGAATTCTTTCTTACCGTGCGGAGAGCCCATTTAATAAACTTGTATGAGTTACTTGTAACTTCTCTTAGTGCTAAAAATTATTATCGAGCCAACCGTATCGTTGAGATTTTATTGCAATGTCCTGAAGTTGACGTAACTCATGTTTGGAAGGTATTAATTAGAATATTTTGTTAATTTGGTTATCAATAAATTCAACGTTCTAATCCTGATTATATAATATTTTTATTATTTTAAAAAATTTTGCTATTTTTGAAAGGCGGCTATAGATGTGTTAATACACCTTGGAAATGCTGAAAAAACGTGTATAGATTTTTTCAACCAAATGTTATTGCATACTAAGTGTAAGGTAAGTTTTTCAGAATTTTTACATCAAATTAAATATATTAAATATACATTCATTATGTGATTTGTAGGAAGAGGTATTGTTAGAATTGATTTCTTTTCAATTGTATTCTGGCAAGCCACAAGACGCACTTGAAATTCTTGAGACGTAATATTTCTATTAAATTTATTTGGTCTAATTTCTTACTATAAAATTGACGATAATTTTGATTTATGTTGCAGATATCTGACACAGCAACCATACAAAGATAACCCACTTATTTTTGGTTATACGGGCATGCTTGCTTTCGCATTATGGGAACAAACAAATGCCATCATTAATAATTCCAGTGTTACCAGGTCAACAATTAATCAAGGAAATGAAGGTGTAAATGAAAGACCCGTCATACATTTTCCTAAACTTCTTTTGCTAAAATAAGCTGTGCTAAAACATATTGTATTTTTATTTCATTAAAATCGACCAACATATAAGATCTTGAATTGTATGTCGAACAACAAGAAAAGTATTACGAATTAAGTATTAGTTCTCTAAATATGGCGTTAGAGATGGATAAGTCAAATGATATGTTTCTTGTATTATATACGAAGGTAATTTTTGATTGTTTTATGGGGTTGAATAAGTAGCATGTAATTCTTATAAAATTTTTCTTTAAAACCAGGTATTATTAGCTAATGATATGATTGATGAAGCCTTAGATATTGTCCGAAGTTTTTGCGATCAAAATCCACGTACGGTTGTTGGTTACAGGTATTTAAGTTATATTCGTTATATATTCTCTAATATATCCTTGAATAATATTTATTATATTGTCTTTTATTTTTTTTCTTAAAGGCTTTTGTTCAATATTCTATACGAGTATCGTAATGAAAACACTGAATGGGTCCAGGCTGGAAAGTTATATCACCAGATAGATCCAGTCAGCCCACCTGAAGCCGTGCTAAATCCTCTAATAAAATATTATGAAAGTGTGATGGGTAACATTATATTTATTTATAATGCCTTTTTTTTTTATAAACTTTTATTTCATATTGCATTTTATCCTGATTAGCAACTCAAACCTCTGATACGGATCAAAGATCATTAGCTGAAGTGCATTACAACCTTTTGGAATTACTGTTTCAACGTATTGAAAATGGAGATGATGAATTTGAGTACGTGAAAGACGCAATAGTCCATTTTATATGGTTAGAGTAAGAAATGCTTATATATTGTATAAATGATCTTTTTACTTTGCTTATAAGTAGAGATGCCGTAGAATCGTCCCAATGAAGTCGAATAATAATTGTCACATGGCTGTAACTTGCCGTAACTATAATAAGTAACATAGTAAAGTTACGACATTATAGCCGTAACTTTACTTATTATTTAC